AGGCCTGAAAGTGCCTGTTTAAGGTAAGGAGTTTCTGAGCTGTAGGAACAAAGAAAGAAACTCACATATAGATAGATAAAGGCCCCAAGGACAGAAGATGTGGAACCATGGCGACAGAAGATAACGTGCATTGTATGACCCAAATAATTAGGCCCAGGCCCTGGCAACAGAAGATAATGGACATCACACTTGAGATAAGGTGGGCAACGAAGGATTTAGTCAGAGGAGTCTGGCTTTTAGGGGCTGGCAATTTCGAAATTGGGGAAAAGGTGACGAGGAAGACTACTGGCCTTCCTCCTGAAGACCCCCACCTGGAGGCGATGCGCAGGCGCAAGAGTGACGTGGTTGTTTTAAAACTGCTCATAAAGTTTTTTGGACTAACCACACCTTAATAGTAAATTTGTATGTTTGTGTTGTGCAATCCTATGAATATGTATAAGGTACCTGCATTTAAGTGGTAAATCTAAGGGGCTTGGTGTGCACGCTTGTGGAGGAGCGATCCCCTGTGCACCCAGCGCTGCAATAAAGAATGCCTGCTTTCTAAAGCTCTGATTCTGAGTCTTAGAGAGTTTTAATTCAACTGGCTTTCCGGTATCAACTGAGTTCTCCACACAGCTGATGCTTACTAAACACTGAAGCGTGGCCTTGAGGTGCAGAGCATCGGGTCCTGTAGATAATTCTCCATTTCTCTGGTTCCCAAGGGCATTCTGAGAAAGCTGCGTTTATGATCACTTGAAAGCCCTAGATACCAGGTGACAGTAAGCTTCTCCCCAATCCTTGTTCATCATTGTATATGCAATAGCTTGTACTTCATCTAATTTTTGATAGAAGAAGAACAAAAACTCCCCCTCAGGCTGACTCTTTTTCCCCGACTTCACTTTTCAGCTAATGCTAGAAGATGGAGAGGAGATCCTCAGCCCATACTTTAACCATTGAATTACTTCTTTGACAGTGAAATTTTAGCTAGAACGATGAATTGTTTCCTCACTGAAATGTTTATGACAGTTCTGCAAAGCTTACTGCTTTTCAGTAGCTCACAGACAAAAGATGCAAACAGCGTAAGGAGCCTGAATGTTAATCCTTGTTCATCTGTCTTTTCAGTTCCCTCTAATTTGATGCTATCTGGCTGCAAAGATGGTTTTGCAGTTCTTCAGCAGTGATAGTGGGTCAACAGGAAAGCGGGCAAATATTTCTGCTAGAGAAAGGAGAGAGAAAACAACTTTGAAACCCAGCTTCCAGCTTCCTCTGAGTTTGACGAGAGGATTCAGAAGGCCCAAAGCAAGAAGTTCTTTCCTTTTCTATATTTTAATTCCTGCTGTTGAGATGGTGCTTTATGCTGTGGAGGTCTACTTTGGTGTTTGTGCGTCATTCATGATACCCCAAGGGGATGCTCACAGGGTGGCTGCATCCAGATGGGCCTGCCAAGTAATCCTGGCTGCTCAACAGGGTGCCACCTTCTGTGGAGTGACAAGGGCCTAAAGAGATGAAGAGGGAAAGCAGCGTGAGTCTGTCCCAGGCAGTGAAGATGCAAGTCCTTTCCTCTGTATAAATTGTCCTTGAAGGGAAAGTGTAGGTAAAGCTGTACCCTGAAGCAGATGTTCAGATCGTGGTGTCAGCTGAAGCAATGCTTTTTCTAAGGTCAATTTTAACTGTTCACACAGGCCAAAGGTGCATGTAACTGTCAATTGTTTCTTCTGAAAATTCGTTCTGCTGTAATAAATTGGAGAAATTCCTTGTTCTAGCAAAGTCCAGAAATAACAGATGGCTCATATGCCAGGCATCAGCAAATCCTAAATATGTGGTCGTGACCCCTGTCCATGGCCTGCTGAGAAATCTACCTGCCTTCAGGATTAGGTTGCCCAAGAGTTTGGTGTTTTATGAACAAGACTAAAAGTGTAAGTTCCACTTGCTTATAACATGCTGCTGTTGAACTTAGAAGCTCTCTTGCACAAAAGTGATGGAGATTTAATGTGGTTGCTATTGTTCTCTATTGTGCTTTGGAGAGCATTCAAGCTGAGAAGTTCTAACTGAATGTTCAGTTGATGAGGCTGGGCAAAGCCAGACTGTTTTCTTTAAGAATCTGAGCCTTCATCATCCATGAACGTGGAAGTGCTGTTACAGATTTTGAGTGACAACTGGGTTAAGGACTGAAGTCAAAATCTTGTCAGGCTGCTATGGACCTGTGTTTTGGATTAGCATGGAACACAACACCAAATTTTGCTTGAAGTTTAACAGGTATTGGAACAAGTTGTGGTATTGGAACAAGTCATGGTCAAAATAGGTCAGCCTTTTTTTTGAAGTGTCTGCAGAACTATGAATCATGACATCCTTCATGAAACTGCACCTAGCAATAGTATTTTCACCAGTTTTCATTAAGGTTTTATGCTCAACTAGCATTTCTAAAGGGAGTGTTAAGGCTTTACAGTTGAATATGAGAGCAGGAATACTTAAGAAAGAATAGCCTCTAATAAGTGGAAGAAGACAAATGGAAATTATACTTTGTGTTTATATAGTGTCTTTTAACCTGGAGCTGTCCATGAGAGTTAGTGAATGTATTGACCTGTTTTGTTCACTGCTTCTTCATGAGTCACTCCAGCTGACTATCAATCCACAGTAATCAAAGTGAGCGAATGGATCTGGGCTTCCCATGATGAGGATCCTGCCAGACTTCCTAGCCAAAGAGTAGGGTAACTGAAATACGCTGACAAAGCAGACTGGAGACAAGGTAGACTAATAGGGCTAATGCTATGGCATGCTGCTGACTCCTGAGAGGCATGAAGAATTTTATATTGCTTGTGGAGCTGTTGGCATTGCTTCTTTTGATATAGATTTTTCTCATATAATCCCATGCTCCGACATGCTGGTTTGATGTATCATCTCAATAATATGGGAAGACTGGGGAAATGCAGTGAAAAGGCTGTATTTCAATACTGTGTCTGTCAAGGGAAGGATGTCAATCAATCACAAGCTGGAAAAAGCTAACAGCATCTTACCACTATGTGAGACTGAAATTCTTAATGCTCCTGTATGCAGACCTGTGCCTTCATTTTCAGGCACTTCATTCCCTTAACAGTCATGTATTTAACCTGAGCACAAGTGTAAATCTTGCTGCATTTCACAGTGGAGAACCATTTCCCCACATTCCAGCAGCAAAACAGAGATGAGGAGAAACTAACAAACTTCGGTTACTGCCTGAGGTCTGCCGCAACTGAGATCTGTAGCAATTAAAATAATGTCATTAAATTAACAGTTTATACATTTACCAGGAATGTGTTTGAGAGATTGCTGTGGCTATGAAGAAAGATTTAAAGCTGATCATTTAAATGTTTTGATTATTGGGTCTTCTGATGCTCTATTTCATGAGCTGACCACTCTTCTGCGAGTGGATCGAATCATGTTCCACTTAGAAGAGATCTCAGGGACACCCCACTGAACTGACTAGTCATCTGACACAGGGAATATTTCATGTTGTAGCAGTAATGGTGATGTCAAGTCACACTGATTGCAAGTGGAGATCAAAAAATTTTGGAGATAGGATAAGCACCTGAATGAAGGTAGCTGGTATCTTTTCTCATATTACTGTGCTTTATATTACTGTTATTAGAACCATCATTTTTAGCTAGTCTAAGCAAAGAGATTAAGAATTGAATTTGTAAGGATGCTTTCATTTTTGTGATGGTCTTGTCTTGGCATAGTCACAGAACATTGACACAGCTGTGAGAAGACAGCAATGGCAGCACTGGTCTGCATCTGTTCGATGACTGGTAGCATCTGTTTGATGATTAGCTAAAGGATTTCAGCTGTTAGAGCTGTCAATCTGACACCTTTGATGAGCACAAAAATAAATCTGTGCTACCAGGAACCGCTCATTTTTTTCCCCTGCTTTTGATTTGCTTGACTCTTTGTGTCCTTGCCGATAACTACTAGCAAGGCTAATGCATTATAAACTCTGAAAAGTGAAGCAAGCGGCTGTCATTTTTTGCACAACAGATGTTCCTGATCAAGAATCAAAGGATCTCATCACTCTTTCTCTGAGCAATTTAATTTGTCTGTTCCATAGCATACCAGCCACCTCCTTTTTAGTGACTGATGTGCCCAAGTCCTACTTCATTTTAGGATCAGTTCTTTTAATCTTACAGAATTATTAGGGTTTTTTCTGTGCCAGAGCAAAGAGAGTGGAAAAAAAGAAATTGCTCTGTTGCTTATGGTGTCACCAATAATGCATCATAATGAAAAGTAGCAAAGGCCTACTTCAAATATAGGAAACACATGTACTACATTTTAAAAGAACCAGAAAGTACCCTATGAGCACTTCTTTGAAGAAATAGCAATTTAGATTTGATGGTGTTTAGCAGTTGTGAGGCTCAGAGGTAGGGATAAGCATGTATAATCCATCAGATTCTTGTAATGCAACTTAGCGAGGTGGAAAAATTGATATATTTTTAAGAAAGGTTGTTTGCTGTGGAACCAGTTCTCCACTCCTTAATCATACAAGTTGTTCAAAATGAGTAATTACTGGAGTTTTTGCTTGCTTTTCCATTTAGTTTGATAAAACTGTATTGCTCTGCTGCTGTTTTGTAGTGCTGGAGATGTAAATTCTATGGTTACTCTATAGTTAATTTCCCAGTTATTAGTCTGGCACAAGACAGTAATTTTGCACGTGCACAGGCTCCTGACTCTGCAACCTGATTGATCTAGTATACCCAATGGGGGACAGTTATTGCTCACCCTGCAAAGAAGGATCTAGACTGTGCACCATGTTCCTACCAATATTTGCTAAAGACTTGGTGGAAGGGAGAGGCACGGGAAGTTGGCCTTGTGCATGTGGCCAGCCCTGCACAGAAATGGCAGCTGCTGCTGCCCATACAAATGGTGGTGTCCGTGGCCACAGTCACAGCTGCCAGTCCTGATAAGCGAGCAAACTGTATCTGAGGAGCTCATTGTAGTTCATGACTGGTAGAAAGAGAAACCGCTTCTATAACCTCTTTTCCATTTGGCAGGTTGACAGGACAGAAGTGATTCGAACCTGTATAAATCCCGTCTTCTCCAAGCTGTTCACGGTGGACTTCTATTTTGAAGAAGTGCAGCGGTTGCGGTTTGAAGTCCATGACATTAGCAGCAATCACAATGGGCTGAAGGAAGCTGATTTTCTTGGTGGCATGGAGTGCACTCTTGGACAAGTAAGTATCACTGCCATTTTTTCCCCTTGTCATTCATCTTTTGTATGTATATGAAATGTATCGCTTTGTTAAATGACTGATGGGTGAGATTTGTCATTCATGACATTATTAATCGGTGCTTTGAATAGGATAATTAAGAACTTCTGCTGGTTTGATTTACTGCGGTAGTATAGCTGTAAATCAGCCAATGCTATAGTAAACTGAGCATCAATGACTGGCCTTGTACAGGAAGAGCCCAGATTCATTACACTACTGTTGAGAAATAGACTGATTTGGGAGAAAGACGTTGTTCTTAATGTTATATGGGATTTAAAACAAGTTGCAAGTCCAAGGAACACCTAAAAATACACCTTAATCACATAGAGTAATGCCTGGTGATGTGACAAATAGAGAGATAGGGTTGGATTCATTTCCTTGGCTCTCAGTCATCCAAAGTTAGGTATTTAAATGAAGTTACTCTTCTGATTTACATCTTGAGTTCAGTGAGAGAAACAGACAGTTCCAGCAGTTGATTCATTTCATCTTCATTTCACCAGGATTAATGAGCTTCAGGAGATACCCCTCTTTCTCCATCAGTTATCAAGAGAGTCTAGGCAGCTGGGTTTAGAATAGATACCTTTAGATGACTAAATTTAAGGGAGATGAGTTCTACCCACAAGATCAATATCAAGATCAAAGCTAGGCTCGCAGTTAATTCCTGTGTTGCTGACTGGTAGCACACTACAGTGTCCTAGGCATCAGTTTATTTCTAACTGGCAGACTATTTGTTATGCATCTCCTAACACAGATCTCAGCTCTTTTCAGTAATGCCAGGTTTCACTGAGCTGAGTGTAAATTTGCTCTTCATTCTGTGGTAGGTTGTGTGACAAGACCGGGCACTGCTTTAGTTTAGATTGTCCTTTGCAGTGTGTCCACATAAATTTATAACCTGAACATAGCAGCCTGTCATAGAAGATGCTGTAGAGCTTGTGCTTCCTATATTCTTACCTTCCGTTGTTAATCCCTCAGCCCCACTGTACCTGAATCCCTTTGTTTTTCTTCCCAAAGCCATTGGGTCAAACATGCTGAAAGAGGAAAAGTCCTCTCAGTGAGAGAATTAATATGAAATATACATATTTACTAAACTGAAATCTCAACATGTAGATATTGGTATTTAGAATATTTACAGTGCACTATACAGTCTGTTCTTTTTGATGACTTCTTGTGGCTTTACTCAATGAAAATAAGCTATCCTATAACACCAAGGAGAATGAGAAACAAAGAAAAAAGTTATTATAATATTCTTCTCACTTAATTGGCTTGAAAATGAAGGGGAAAAAATGTCATTGCTGCCGCCTGTAGCATAAACATCTTTATAATGATTTGATCTCTATAAATAGCACACAGCTGTGTTGGTTGCAGTGTAATTTTAATGGTAACCAAGAAAAAATAACAACAGTGTGAAATCTGTTCACAGTAATATAGCCTTGAGGACTTTGATCTAATATTTAGACTTTTTTGGTGGTTCTTCATCCCCCTCTTCCTAGTTTTTTAACTTTACATAATTCCTCAACTGATTTAAAACCCAAAAATGTTAGCACTTGAATTGTCATCCAAACAAAGCCATATGAGGAGTCCAGCATTGAAAATCCTGCAGCACAGGCTGTATGTACGGAGCTTACACTCATGCTTAGCTGTTTGGTGTAATTACTGCATTTTCTTAATGATGATGATGGAGCCATGTCTTTTCTTGAGGTAATTTTGACATTAATGTCTTGCCCTACATCACTTTAATGCCTGAATAAAACATGATTTTGTGTGAGAGTCTGTGCCTGCCTATCAATTTACTTTCCCATTCCAAGTAGATATGAGATATCCAGGAAGGTTGTAGAATTTTGGGCATAGTCTGAAAGACTGATTTCCTCCCAACCCCCCTGTAAATGTGCCAACTTCTATTGCTGTCTTCTAGGTAAGAGTTGATAGTAGAAGAGATTCACTGCTACATGTACTTGTTTGTAAATCATCATTTAGATGTGTAGTAAACATACATTTTTTTTCCCAAATCATGTAATACTCTTACCTAAAACAAAATTAATGAGAATAATAAATGCTGGGAAAGGCAATAACATAGTTATACAGTAAGCTGACAGAGAAGTTAGTTTTTGCTTTCTTCTGATATATCTAAATCCTACATGTAGCTTACTGGATAGATACAAGCTTATTAGAAATTTGAATGCAAATGGTAGAGAAATGTGGTTTTTTGGAAGGTGTCATTATTAGTCTCCTCCCAAATGCTGTTATAAATCCGTGTCCCAAGACAGTGATAAGGGCAGTAACTTGTCTGCTGTTAGATCCTGAACATACACTGTCTAGTGACATCCCACTGGATTTTGAGCAATATTTATTTCTGCTGCTCTTGCCAAGACAAGCTAATTTTGAGCTTCTGCTGGTAAATACTGTGGTTAGCAGCATCCTGGCATTGCAGTCAGTTATACCTGGATATGAAGAGTAGATGCATCAATGGGCATTTCATATGCCACAGTATTTAAACCCAGTAGAACAAATGGTTGTGGATAGATATCTGCTGAGTGTAATTAAGAAAACATCAATGTGCGAAATAGAGACATTTCCTTAAAGTGGTTTGGTTTGTCCATCATGCTCAAAAGTTACCCTTTCAGATAAAACAATAGTAGATTATCTCTTGAAGCGTTTGAGGGGGAGGAGGTTTAGTGCAAGGGTTTTTGGGGGGAATCTTTTTGTATGTTTTTAAGTACTAAAAGTCTGTTCCTTCCACTCAGAAAGGCTCTTTACATTCCAGTTTCCCAGCTTCTTCAGAGTGTCCTGGTGATGTGCCGATTTGTGGACTCTTAACAAATGTGTTCTGTACAACTGGAATTATAGTCAAATCAATAAAACCATAAAATATTAGAGAAGGTACTAAAGTTGAAAGTGCAAACAAATTTTCCTCAATAAGTAGACATGATCTTAAAACATGGCCTGAAATTACGTGTAGTTTATAAAACAGTTTCTAAAGGAACTTTACATCAAGAGAATGTACCATACTCCAACCATTTAAGCTGTCCATGCTGTATTAACCTACCATTTAACAATGACACTTCATTTAAGGTGCATAATTAAAAACTATGTATTTTAAAAATACGTTATTGTTTTTCATTTTACAATTCATTTCTAAGTAACTGCATAAAACTAGTATCTAGTAATACCTTTTTTTAACAATTAAGTTATGCAGTCATATGGTAGCTACTTAAGCAAGGAAACTATACTGTGTTTGCTTGTAACCTCACAAAGATTGTTCTGAATCTGAAGCATATTTGTGAAATTATGGGACATTTAAAAAAAAAAAAAGTTCTCTAAAATGCAACACAGCATGAAACATGCTTTCTCCAGACACGAGTGTGAAAGAAGTTTTTTGGGTTTTACCTTTGGCTTTGGCTTGATTTAGGAATATAGCTATAGAAAGAGCAGATGAATTCTAGCAAAGTTTACATTTCTAGTTTTTACTCTAATTTTAGGTATCTGTGCACAGAATTTCTATCTGGAAGACATTTCTTATCAGAATTTGAACATGCAATCAGCTTGTTCTGACAAAGTCTTTTAATGGTTGAGCTCAAAGTTGAGTCTGGATGATTTCATCCCACATGAAGTTACTTTGTGGAAGATGTGACTGAGCTTTGTGAGGCTGGAAGTGGAGACTAAACTGTGACAGAATAGTGTGTGTTTCAGCTGAGCCTAATGAAAAGCTGGAACTGGAGGTAAAGTTTAGTGCAATACAAGTAATTTAAGTCAGAAGCGACCTCTGGAGTCTCTAGTTCAATCTACTGCTCAAAATACATTAGAGCAGGTTGCTCAGGAGCTTGTCCAGTCCCATTTTGAATGTCTCCAAGGATGGAGATCTCTCAGCCTCTCTGGGCTATGTTCCAGTCCTTTGCCACCCTCACAACACCAATGGCTTTCTGTCTCTAGGGTTTGCCTACCTCTGGCAAGACCAGAGATAAGTGAAGGCATAATGAACCCTCGCTCCTGTGCATGTGGAGACGTTTACAAATACTTGTAGTAGCCTTCAAGTGTCAAAAGAAATTCTGAACTGGCAAATCAAAAGTAAACAAAGCAGGGATGTCTTAGCCATAGCTGGTCTTGCTTTGGGAGGAAGGGACTAATAGCAGCCTTCTCGAGCTGCTGCTGTAGATGACAGCTCTCAACCTTTGGAGTGGGAGTGCTGGGGCAGAGCAGTGGTTTGGCACTGTGCTTTCTACTATGACAGAAATGGCTTGGGATGCTCCATCAGGCTGTTCATCTGCCCACTAGTCTTCTAGCTCACTGATTCGCTCTAAACAGTTGCTGTTCTTTGCATATACATACCGGCAAGCAGAGGCACCCATATATCTTTGTAGTGATAAGCAGTGAAATCTCAAGCAGTGATATTTTAACTACCATTTTGGAGCACTACCATATAAAGGTGATCTCTTGCTTTCATATAGGTAGGTGCTTTAGGTGCTATGAATCAGTTCACCCTTGGTTGTGGTTTTACAGATGTCTGTAACTAAGGAGAGTAAATTTTTCCCCTTCTCTTTCCCCTTTGTTTTTCCTTTTCCCCCTCCCCATCCCTAGGAAGAGTGTTCAGGCACTCCACTCACTGAGACTAATCACTTCCAACTGAATCCCTATCTAAAGGTTTTGTATGTTTGTTGCTTATTGGTTGTGATTGTTTGTTTTGAGGGGCAGGAGATAGATTTTTTTTTTTTTAATTATTATTTATTTAGTGGTTTGGGTCTTTTGACCACCAAAAACAATGGAAAAAAATTGTACATGGACAAACACTGTTAGAAATTTTGATAGCCTAATTTTCATGATATTCATCTGGGATAGAGACACCCCAAACCCAAGTCCTTTTGTATTTATTAGTGCCTTCATGTGTTCTGAGCCTCTCTAAAGCTCTCTTATCAGAATTTCAGTTTTACATTCCATAAATTTTATAAAGTATAAAAGCTTCATCATTTAGT